TGGGGTGGGGGCAGGTGGTCTGTCGGGACCTGTACTGCGTCTGGCGAGGGGGGGGGTCGCTGGGGAATGGCGCAGCGAGCGGCCAACCCTCCGCCGCTTTGTAGGGAGGTGGGGGAAGCCCTGCGCAGCCGCTGGCATCGGGCCAGCTGGGGAAATCGTTTTATTCCGGGGACGGTCATGTAATTCAAAAAACATTCCCTAAAAAAAAAAATTGTGCTATCACGAAAACGTGTTAAACGGGTACGTGTTAAATGAGGAATTACTGTATTTTATTTCATGTCAAAGTGCCATTTGTCACAGAGTCAAAGAAGTAGTTGTTCCTGTTTTTTCTGTAAATTGGATTTGTCCAGGTGCTCAATAAAGGAACCAAGTTCCTAGGATGCTGTAATCCTATCAGAGATAGGCTAACATCAGGGAGCAAGCTTGCATCTCCCGCCCTCTGCTCATGCCAAGTGATTTTCAGCTGTAGGGGAGAATTGAGCCCAGTTTATTACAGAATCACTTGTTGGGGACTGTTTTACCTCAGTGACTGACTTTGTGTGGAACAACATGTTTTCTCTAGGGAGACTGGGAGTTGGAATTTTAATGTGCCAGTATGTTCAGATGATACTGAGCAGCAAAGAAAATTCTCATGTAGTTCAGTTTGGAAGAATTGAAACTCAACATACTAAACGCTGAGTCCAATTCCATTTGGGACATGTCTGTTGAGTAAACTTGCTGACTTTGGACGTGATCCAAAGTCCATTAAAGACAGTAAAAATGCTCTATTGACTTCAGTTGACTTTGGAAGAAGGCATTTATGAATATCAAATAAATAACTCGACTGTGCTTTTAAGGCCCTTGATGCTCTAGCCTAGTGTTTCTCAACTTTTTTTTATGAAGTAACCCGTAAAAAAAATTATAAGTACCCTCAGTACCTACAGTTTTTAGAGAGACAAGTTGTGGTTTTTTTCTACCATTGCAGCACATTGGTTTAAACAACTTGATTGTAGCTGGGAAAGCGATGAAATTTTTGGGTGTAAAAAGTACAAAAATAATAAAGTGCTGTAAAACTTAAAACAAAAATTCAGTTTTCCCCAAATTTTACTTGTGTTGATGTGGCCCCCAGACCTCTCTTGAGTAATCCTAAGGGTAGTCGTACCACTGGTTGAGTAACACTGTTCTAGCCCTGCTCTGTCACCTCTTGCTTGGCATGGAGCCTTCAATCTCTGCTTTCTGTCAGGGTATGTCTACACTACAGACTGTGTTTTTCTGACAGTGGTACTCCTCTTTCTATGAGGAAGAATGCCTTTTCTGAAAGATCTCTTTCGGAAAAAGACGTGTGTGGTCGGGGAGAAGGGTTTTCTTTTGAAAGAACAGGCCTCCAGGAAATAATACAGGTGCCCTAGTGGACACTCCGTCCATACTGATCACAACTCTGTAGTTTCTGTCCCTTGCCACCTCTTAAAGCAGCAGGCACCCAGGACAAGCCTTGTGACAGGAAGCCAGCCCAGAGAGCTGCATCGCACACCACGGTTGAGGTTGTTTCCCCCCCGCCCCTCCCAGCAGAAAGTCTGTGTGAGGGTAGGATGGCACAACCCCCCAGGCACGGGGCTTTCACTCGACTCTCAGACCATCTCCACACTTTTTCCTAAGGTTCCCCCTTTCTAGTACTTCCTCCCCTTCAGGGACTGCAGCCTGAGAATGCCATATCTCCATGAGGAGGGCCCCGAAGGTCAACTTCCCCATGCCGAATTGGTTGCCCACCGACTGGTAGCTGTCTGGGGTGGTGAGCTTCCAGATGGCGATGGCGACCTGCTTCTCCAGGGGTCTCACAGGAGAAGCGGGCCACAGGTGGGTGTCACGTTGTCAGAGGGCAGGAGCGAACCAGGCAAGCAGCTCCAAAAAAGTGGCCTTCCTCATCCTGATGTTATTAAGCCACTGCTGGTTGTCCCACTGCTCTATCATGCACTAGTTGGAACTGGTGTCCAGCCTCCAGAATCATCTCTCTACCGTGGTGTGCGATGGCAAGGGCATTGCTCCCGCATCCAGGCAGAAGGACACACAGAGGAGCTCGGAGTCAAGCTGGGGCAGGACTGTCAAGACAGTCTGCACAAACTGCTGCAGAACCTGCAGCATGGCAGTGTGGGGCCATCACATGCCCAGAAGCAACTCTGGCTCCATAGCAAAAAGAATATTATGCTGTCCAAAAGCTGAGCAACCAAAGCACGCACTGCACAAGCTTTTCTGTCCCTTGGAGAGGTAGGCAAGCATGCAGCAGAACCTGAGAAATGGATGTCCAGGGGGGTCCTTTTAAGCACATGTCTCAGATAGCCTTAGGCAACAGCACCCAGAAGCAACTGCTGACCTAACGCCATGGCTGAAGTGGTTCAGGGTGGCATTTTATGCGAGAGAGCATCCAATCAGTCTGGACGCTCAGTTTCGAAAAAGCAGATCGCTTTTTCAATGCGCTTTTGTGTGTGAAAGCTCTTTTTCTAAAGACGTTTTTTCGGAAGATCTCTTCCGGGAAAAAATAATCTTCTGAAAGAAGCCTGCAGTCTAGATGTAACCCCAGATACCATTGTGCTTTTCCTACTGCTGCCACTGAGAGAAGCAGAGAGGAAAAAATCTGAAACCCCTTCTTTGAAATTCCTCCTTAAAACTCACCATTGTGATGCATGCCCCTCTGCTCCCAAAAAAACAGTAACTAGGAAGCTAGTGTGTCATGACTGCTCCTTTTTACTCTATTAATACCTTGTGTGTGTCATCTCCTCCTCTCCTTCTGTTTGTTGTATCCATTTATTGATAAACTTAAATTGTAAATTCTTTAGCTTTTCATGCTGTGTATTAGGGTTGTGGCATTTGGTTAATCAATGTTCTAAATATCATTTGGAGGTATAGGGAGAATTATGTGTTGCAATGCTATTATACTGTGATTGCAAGGGCAATCACATTGGACCGATCCATAGGGTTGTTAGATGTCATGTAACTGAATAGTCACGTAATGGTTTGAAATCTTAGTAGTTACCCAACTATTCCATAGTCCCTGGGGGCAGGGCCAGCAGCCTGTGAGCTCCTGGCCCCACTCCCAGGAGGTATAGGGAGAATTATGTGTTGCAATGCTATTATACTGTGATTGCAAGGGCAATCACATTGGACCGATCCATAGGGTTGTTAGATGTCATGTAACTGAATAGTCACGTAATGGTTTGAAATCTTAGTAGTTACCCAACTATTCCATAGTCCCTGGGGGCAGGGCCAGCAGCCTGTGAGCTCCTGGCCCCACTCCCAGGAATCTCCCTGTCACCCCGTGATGCTGCCTCTCTATCAGCGGCAGCAG